AATTCCTATAAAATTATAAAATTCCCATAAAAAAAATCAAAAACCTTTTTAATAATAATAATAATAATTTATCATATATGGATAAATAAATAATAATAATAATATATATATAAATTTTTTCGAAATTTTTGTTTTTGTCTTAACTATATAACGTTGTTGTTATATATATTATATATATTATATATATTTTTATAAATTTACTTAATAGACTAAAGAAAAATACCAGATAGAAAGAAATTATAATTATTATATATTATTATTATATATATATAATAGCTTATTTTGCGTTTACAGCTCTTTCAGCAGCAGCGACTTTTTCTCTAAACTTATCATTATCATTCATGGAATGAGCCAATTCATACAAGTCGTCAGTGTCTAAAAGATTAATTGTAACCTTGCTAGCCATAGCACTTTTGAGTCCAAGGCTCTAAACAAAATAATCAATAAAAATCAATCATTTTCATTTCAAAAAAATCTCATAATAAATAAATATCGATAAATGATTTACCTTAACTTTACGGAATAAACGGTCACCCAATTTTTGTTTTCTTTCATGAACAGGTTTAAATTTAATGCTATCCATAAATTGTTGAATTTCATCCCATTCGCTATTACGAGTAGAAGAAGAGGTGGGAGAGGTGGTGGTAGTTGACGTAATTGGATTGATGGTCTTCACATTATAAGTAGTTTTATTGGTAAGATTTAAGGATTCAGTTGATTTAATAAACGGAGGAGTGGAAATTGGAGTAATTTCAGTTGATGGTGCAGCTGATTTAGGGGAACATGATAAATTATCATCGTTGGTAACAACTTCCAATGCTTGGATTGCTTCATGGATTCTTTTATTCAAATATTCAGCATTAAAGTAACACGATCTTCTCTCCTTAGTACTCAAAGTCAATATCAACTCAAGGATCTCGTCAACGTTTCCTGGGCAAATTTTCAAAATAGCCTTATGGAATTTTTCTTTTTGTGAAACTTGAGCAGCAGAACTTGTTAGATCAGTTGTACTGACATTAATGTTGTTATGAATTAAATGATTATTCATATGATTTGTATTATTGTTGCTATTATTATTATTGAAAGGTTGTTGTGGTACAAGAACAGTCCCCTCATTGCCGCGCCGTTTTTGTCTAGCTTCTGTTATCTGTTTTTTGAAGGAGTAAAAATTTCGATTAATTAACCAGTCCAATCGTTATCAATTGATAGCCATTAAAGCATATAAATATATATTCAAATAAACATAAACAAACCCTATATTGTAAAGCAGTAGCGTCTTTCAAAATATGCAAAACTTCAGGAGTTTTCAAATTTAATAGATATTCAATTATATAATTAACTTCATCATGAGGAACACTTGGAATATTTTTAAATCGTTTTTGCAATTCAGACATTAAAACTTCTTTACGGGCTTTAGGTGCCAAGCTATGAAGATCATCATGACCAAATTCATTGACCACATTGATGGGATACAATTCAGAACTACGTCTAGACGGTACACGATTCTCATTATTATTGTTGTTATCATTCTTATTAATATTATTGTTGGATGATGAAGGTGAGATTGGTCCACCGCCACCACCACCACCACCACCACCAAGATTGTTATTATTGATAATATTGTTGTTATTGCTGATAATACCACTACCACCGGTGTTAGGGCTGAATTGATTTGCCAATTTAGCCTCACGTAATTTTTTAGGTTCGTGAAGTCTTACAACAATTGGTTTAGCACCAAGAGTTTTACCGTGCATAGATTGTTTAGCTTTGTCAGCTTCTTCAGAACTGGAATAACTAACAAAACCAAATCCTTTAGAATTGCCGGTTTCTTGGTCTCGCATTACACGAGCACTAATAATTTTACCAAATCTACGAAATTGGCTAAAAAGATCACTACTGGAAATATTCGAGTCGAGGTTTTTAATGAATAAATTACATGGATCTACGATAGGACCTTCGGGACCAGGTGAAGTAGGACCTTGTGGTTGTTGTTGTGGTTGTTGTGGTAATTGTTGTGGATTGTGATGTTGATGTGGTTGTTGTTGATGTTGTTGATTATTTTGATGATGATTATTGCTGTTACTATTATTGTAATTGATTGGAAGTGTGTATGGTGGGACCGGCTAATATTATAATATTATTGAGAGAAGAGGATAAGAGATGAGAAAATATTGTTTGAAAAAAAAAAAACAACATCATTATTATCATTAAAATTATTACTTACCACACCCATAGATTTGTTATTGTTGTTGTTATTGTTAGAATTTGAACGATTTGGAGCTTTATTGTTATTATGACGATGATATTGAACAATCCTATTTTAAACATATTCATAATAAATAAATATAAATTAAGAGAAGGGGGAAGGGAGGAGAAAGAAGCACTTACATTGCTTTATTATCCTTAGAATTCTACCAAAAAAAAAAAAAAAACAAAAGTAAAATCAAAAAATAAAATCAAAATAGAATGAAACCAAATCAAGATAAATAAAAATATAACATACCAGATTAGCAACAGCTTTATCGGCATCTTCTTTTCTAAAATATTGTACGAAAGCAGAACCTTTAAATTTGTTATCTTGGACTTGCATCCTAACGGAAAACAAAGGCCCATAAGGTCTAAATATATTGAACAAGCTAATATTCGTGTTGGTTGTACTTAATTGTCTGACATGTAAAATAAGGGCATTTGTTTGTGTTTGTAGGTCATAAATTCCAGAGGTTGGGTCATTAATATGTAGGCTTAAATAAGTATTATATGCGTCCAATTTACTATGATTATAAATAGCAAATGCTTTCTCAGCTACAAAAATTATATGGATCTACGATAGGACCTTCGGGACCAGGTGAAGTAGGACCTTGTGGTTGTTGTTGTGGTTGTTGTGGTAATTGTTGTGGATTGTGATGTTGATGTGGTTGTTGTTGATGTTGTTGATTATTTTGATGATGATTATTGCTGTTACTATTATTGTAATTGATTGGAAGTGTGTATGGTGGGACCGGCTAATATTATAATATTATTGAGAGAAGAGGATAAGAGATGAGAAAATATTGTTTGAAAAAAAAAAAACAACATCATTATTATCATTAAAATTATTACTTACCACACCCATAGATTTGTTATTGTTGTTGTTATTGTTAGAATTTGAACGATTTGGAGCTTTATTGTTATTATGACGATGATATTGAACAATCCTATTTTAAACATATTCATAATAAATAAATATAAATTAAGAGAAGGGGGAAGGGAGGAGAAAGAAGCACTTACATTGCTTTATTATCCTTAGAATTCTACCAAAAAAAAAAAAAAAACAAAAGTAAAATCAAAAAATAAAATCAAAATAGAATGAAACCAAATCAAGATAAATAAAAATATAACATACCAGATTAGCAACAGCTTTATCGGCATCTTCTTTTCTAAAATATTGTACGAAAGCAGAACCTTTAAATTTGTTATCTTGGACTTGCATCCTAACGGAAAACAAAGGCCCATAAGGTCTAAATATATTGAACAAGCTAATATTCGTGTTGGTTGTACTTAATTGTCTGACATGTAAAATAAGGGCATTTGTTTGTGTTTGTAGGTCATAAATTCCAGAGGTTGGGTCATTAATATGTAGGCTTAAATAAGTATTATATGCGTCCAATTTACTATGATTATAAATAGCAAATGCTTTCTCAGCTACAAAAATTATAATTATAAAAATATAATTTTTAATATTTATTTAGAATGATGACAATAATAATTGTGATATTATTTGTAATATTAATATTATTACCATGGTCTATTGTAGCAAAAGTAATCACAGCAGTATGTGGAGCATTCCCTGGCAATCGATTGATTTGGACGCTTTTTATTATTTATAAAATTTTCAAAATAAGCAAATTTAGTTAATTAGTTAATTAACGTTTTATTTAACATAAAAAGGGCAATGAATAAGAAACTAACCTTGTGGGTTGAATGTCCTCAAATAAGTCACGAAGTTCATTTTCAGTGATACTAAATTGTAAGTCACTTACATAGAGTTTAGGTTCGCTTATAATGGAGTCAACAGGAAAGTCAACTTGATGATTGTTATTAATATTGTGTGAATTTATTACTGAATTAGATTGGATTTGTGTTGGAGGCATCTTATAGTAAGTTGATTATTTATATATTTGTTGTCAAATATGTTTATTACAATCAAAATCTGCTTAATATTATTATTATTATTTATTTTATTATTATTATTATTATTATTATTAAAGACGGGGTTTTGTTGTAAATAACTTTCTTATTTAAATTTTAAAATTTAGTTTAATTTATTATATTATAATAAAATTCTAATAAGCATATCGAAATTGGAAAATTTAATTTATTATTGTTATTGTGTTTTCTTCTTGATTGAAGAAGAAAGCGATAATAATAAAGACCATTTAATTTATAAAACGATTTTTATTTTTTTTTTTTTTTTGCTATATTGGACGGATGTCTTAAAATGGTTACATTATTACATTATCCATTATTATTGGATGGTCAAATTAAGTTAAGCTTTTTTTATTTTAGACTGTATGCCTACTGCGGGGGGGGGGGTTACATGGGTCTACTTTCGGTTGGGCTTATTTAAAATAATTTTTTAATCTATTTATTTATTAGATGACTATAATCTTATTTATTGTAATGGTAATGTATTTACCAAAAAGAACGGGAAAATTCATTATTATTACTTACTTGCTTACTTCATTTATTAATTCATTCATTTAAATTAACACAATAGGATTCCAACACAATCTCTCCCTCTATGCCAATATCCATATCCATATACAAATATATGCATCACTAAAACTGGAAATTTCTTGTAAAGAAATGTTTTGGTCACTATTACTTGTTATGGGGAAGGCGTGAGCATTCGCAGAAAAAAGATCACGAAATTTCACATCAATCTTAAACACAATCACACAACATATAAAACCATCTAAAGGAGAACGGCGATCGCTTTGTAATTTTTAATAAATTGACGGGTTATTTTTTTTGACGTAATTTAATATCAACATATATATATTAACTAAATTAATCGTCTGACAAACAAGTTCTGATCTCGTATTTCTCCGCGTAGTATAAAGGAGCACAACGGAAAAACAAAAGAAAAAAGTGCTCCTGTACATTCATTCCTTTTGTGGTTACAGCGTAGCACGAACCACATCTTTGGTAATCATCCGTTAAACTGGCATTCAAAACAAACAAATTTTAATAATGATAATGATAATATAATTATATTTACTATTGAGATATATATATAGTCAGGCGTAATTATACAAGTATTAATTAATTGATTATTAATTTATTTTTTTTGAGCAAAAATTCTATAAGTTACCCAACAAGTTTTTTGTTCGTCGATTTCTTTGGAAAATTGTGTTAGCATATCAGAATACTCATCGCTGGAACAATTCATCACACTAGTTAAAGTCGGTTTATGAACATTGTAAACCTCAAGCCAATCATTAAGTGTCTAAGAGACGCGAAAACATAATAATAATGATAATTAGACCTAGAAAAAAAGAACATGTATATATATATTTGATTATTTACTTACCAATTCACCAAGTTTTCCTCCCCATTTACCAATTGGATGTTGATGTTCTATGAACTTGTAGTTGGTCAAATCTTTGTTAGATTCAACCAACTTAGGAAGAAACGAACTTGGAACAGGATTGAGTCCTCCGTGAGAAGTAGCGGCATGAGCTAAAAAATTTACAAATTTAAATAAATAAAAATTGAAAAATATAAAATGTGTTCATAGTGAACTTACCGGCTGTTTGAAATTTTTTATAAGTTTCGCCAGGATTAACAACTGTTTGGTCAAATTCCTAGTAATTGGAGGAAAAACAAATATTATTTATATGTGGAATGAATATATATGTGATAAAAAGATGATAACAACAAATACCATCAGTTCAATCCAACCACCGGGCTTTGTGATTCTGACATATTCATCGATAATCTTATCTTTAAATTGTTGTTCGGTGAACGCGAAGGCTCCAAACTTTTGATGAACCAAGTCAAAACTATTGTCTTCAAACGGTAACCCTTTTAGCACATCGGCCTTTTCAAATTTCACATTGGAAGGATGATCTTTGGGAAAATCAGGTACTATGTCAACACCCGTGATACTGGCTGAAGGATATTCTTGACCTACATCTGCAGCCCAGATGCCAACACTGCATCTAAATTATCAAATCAAATTGATTAATCAGCAAGAATTTAAAAAAAAATTTCTAATTATTAATTCTATCAACCATTGTTATTTGATTCTATCAACCGTTAACATCAATTGCTAGATTAAATTATTATAATTAATTACCCAACATCGAGGGCTTTTCCACCAGATTTTAAAGTGGGCTCAACAGGAGAAGAGAAATTGCTTTGCCAAACATATTTTAAAATATTATGTTGCTTTTGAAAATTATCCAATTCAGGATCATCAACTAATGGATACTTTGGATTATCAATATTAATTATTACCTAAATATTTTTATATTTTTATTATTATTAATAAATTAAAATAGAATAATCGAATGAAAATTATATTATCATTATTATTACTTTTGCCATGGTTTATTCTTTTTTTTTTCCCCCTTTAATAAATGATTAATAATCAGAAGATTTTTTTTTATCATTACTTTTGTAAAAGTCAAGTACATATATATATATTAATTAAACAATACTAACCTAAAGACTTTGACATTTAAACAATATTAACCCATAAATTTCAATGCTAAGATAGTTCAACAATATTAAGAAATAATATAAAGTAATTTATTATCAATCATTGTTATTTATTTTTGTCAAAATTTAATATCAATATTGTATGTGTGTACGTTTTATAAAAATCATTAATACAGAATCCATTCATCAAATTAATACAATAAACAATAGTGAATATCAAAATTTTGCAGAATCGAACTTGTATGTTACCTGGTTACAACCCAAGTAAGGGAACTATGGCTTTTTTTATTATTATTACAATAATACACTTGGGTTACTAATACACCACCTGTTTAGGATAATAAAGTCATATTTCTACCAATCAAAACAAAGAATGGGACGGGTTAGTGTAACAGAGGTAGGTAACCCTGAAATAACCTGAAATCTTAATTATTCCTCTTCAGCAACTGGTACAACAACACCCTCCCAACCAATAAAATTTGCTTTTAATATCATGGTGATAGCACAGTTTCCGCCCAAAAATAAAAAGTGATATTTTAATATTCATAATAAATATCTTGAATAAACACAAATATTTATAAATTTTAAAACAAATTTTTCGTATTTTGGTTGATCTCAATTATCTCAATCAACAATGTGAACACTAGTTAGTCATGAATATTATTAATTCATTATATTGTTCAGGTTATTATCCAATTTAATTGTAATAGCAAATAAATAATATTTGGTCCTTTTTTGATGTTATACAGTTCCCAATAACATCTCTGATAGAGTTTGTTATATATTTTATACATCAATTGACTGCATGTCCATTATTTCTTTATCAGAATAAAGCAAATTAAAATAGGTGTAAGTAGCAGGAATGCAAAAAATTTTTTTTGCCAATAATGATAATGACGGAAAGTTTATTTAAAACTATCTGCAATACCTGTTCCCAGCGAAGGACTTTTAAAAGACGGAACTTAATCAGAAATATTACTATTATAAAAAGAAACACGAATTTTGCTTCAGTCTTTCCTTATCTATTAGTTTGTAAAATTAGTAAAGTGACCTTAAAAAAAAATTCCGGAATTCTGGAAAAATAGTAATAGTAATAGTAATAGTAATAGTAATGGTAATGGTAATGGTAATTAATGGTAATGGTAATGGTAATTAATATTAATAGTAATAGTAATAAAAATTACATTTTTCCGCTTTTATTCCAGAAAATAAAAATGAAATTTTCCTTATGATTTTTTCGGAATTTTTTTTTTAATATTAATTAATATGAATAAAACGAGAATAAATGGAATAATAATAAATAGGGAGATTTTATTATATTTATTTCATAATACACACAGTTATGGTTATTTGAAGCGATTCGGCTAATCCAAAAATTTTCGGTTTGGTTCAGTTCGGTTCAGTTCGGTTCAGTTCAGTTTCAGTTTTTAAGCCAATCCGAAAACTTTCGATTCGGCTTTGTTTACTTGTTGAATTGAACCGAAAATTCTCGGATTGAGTCGAAAATTAAATTGTAAAATAAAAACAATACTACCTCTAATGATTATATACATATATGTGTATCCAATACATTTTTAAAAGCTTAAAATAGAGCAACTTTTACTTTGTATGTGATATTGGTCGTAGCGCTGCTTGTTTTTTAATTTTTGATTTGAAGTTTACGATATGTAAAATGCGTGAAATCACGAGTTTTAGTTATTATATGTGTTCAAAATGAGTTGATTTTAACTTGTAGAATAGCTTTATTTAATTCACAAAGCTTTTTGTTGGTATTTTTGCGTTTACTTGTGTGTATATATGCATGATAAAACTCGACTAATCCAAATCCGAGCTTTAAGTTCTGTTCGGAACTTTATTTGCAATAGTTGATTATTCATCTACCTATATATTACTAAAAAGTCATTGAAATCCATGATTCTTTTTGTATTCGAAAAGGGGATAAATTGTAAGGAATGTTAAAAAAACAACAACATAACTATTGAAGGTGAGAAAACTGCTCTTAGACAACTTGGAAACATCAAAAACAATAACATTTGATCGTTAGAAATTACAGATATTGAAATTACTTTAGGGCTCAAATTACAGTTGTTCCCATCTTCCTTGGAAACGAAGGTTGATCCGACCTGACACGATGATGCAATTTAATTTCAGGGAGGAAGGAGGACATGGCCCTGAAGTTTACTTAAATTGAATTGTTGTCAAAGAGATTGTTAAAGCCTCTTACTTTGTCAAAGGCTTACTAGATGTCCGGATTTCGTCACTTTTAGAAAAAACCCACAGTTATGAGGAGCACTATTGCGTGTTCGTAAAGGAAAATCTGACGTCTAATTTTTTATATAATAACTATGCATGTTTTTCTATAATTAATACATCCAGAGAATCTGATCCCTTCTTTGTAGGTGCTGTCTGTACAATATTTGAAGGAAGACGCAACCATTGAAAACATGTGACAGATCATAAAAAATAATGTGGAAAAAAGATTATCAAAAGACATTGGTAAATTGATACAATTTATGATTGAGAAAATCAAAATTTAGTGAAGTTTAGGAAAAAAGACGCTTACAAAAACTGGTAATAGTATTTCGTATCATTGTTGATAAATTTCGAGACATGCAATTTTTTTTTGTCACCGCCATTTTTTTTTTGCAGTACACTATATTAACATGTATATCTTCTACATGACCACTATTGCATTCGTTAAATTTGTCAGCGGCACTAATACTTTAAATTCTTTAATCTAAATAAAGGAAATCCACATACTTAATACCATTATGTTAAAGTAAATTCTTCATAAAATCACAAATTTCACGTTACATTCTTAATTTTCAAACTGTTTAATTATAAAGTGTTAGCTGAAATTGTTTTTTAAACGTTGGCGGACACGTTTAAATATTCACAAAGGTCATTTGATGTCTGGTGAATTATCGACCATTTAATTCTGTCGATATATATATATAACATTGAGATGGAGGGAGAAATTTAATTGAGTCGCCTGAAGGAATATTTTTGAGAAAATTTGTCTTAGATTATTATCCTTTACTTTTTATATTTTTAGAATTAAAGATTAAAAAAACCAATTAATTAAAGCATTATTTTAACATCAGGCGGATATGTCCTTAGCCATCATATTGAGAACGATGCGCTGAACCCTAAAATCCAGTACGGTATGATCATAATGTTATGATATTTTATATTAGCAAAAACCCATTGGTTTGACGGGTTGTTAAATAGTAAAATAATTTTTTTTAGCGGAGCAAATAAATTTTTTTAGGGTTAATTATTATTCTACTAAAAAACCAAATCTGCTGGTATAAAAGATTATATGTAATATGAAATTAAAAGCGCAAGGCTAAATAAAGGTGAAACAAAACAAATCTGAACCAAGTCAAAGCCGAGGTGAAAAAGAGTAAGTTTATATTTTCTCTACCAATATTTATATGGAGGATACTTAAAACGGAACCGAAAAAAAAAACACAATTGTAATTTTGATGGGTATTTTTATTTAAAATTTATAACGAAATGCGTAATAATGCAATTTCAACTATACCTGATATAGAAAATAGAAAAGAATATTTTTACAATTAGGCGATAGAAATAAACAACTTCCGAAATAGAAAAAAAAAACGAACATTGTATAGAAAGATATATTTATGTATTTGAATTACAAAATGCATTATATAAAGTCGACAAGATATTCAAATAAATTTGGCGAAAATTGTATCAGTCTACACTTACAGAGTCTTTTCAACCTGGAAACGATATTTTTGACAATTTCATTCAACAATCTCAAATAAAATCATCATTTCCGCGTCAAATTATCGAATGGATACCTTATAATCAATTTGAAAATGCAGAAAAATTAACAGAAGGACAAAAGGACCTATAGTTGACTATGACGAAAAGAAAAAAGAATTTAGCTATGTTGAAAATCTATATGTAGTATTAAAATGTTTAAATAATTCGAATGATCCGGGAAAAGGTTCTTTTGATGAAGTTGGTAATTTTTAAATTAAAAAAAAATTAATAAATCTTTTTTTTTTTTTTTTTATAAATAATTTTTAGGCATTGAATTATTGTAAAATTAAATCGTCAACGATTATTCCATATTATGGCATAACTAAATTTCCAGAGAATAACAACTATGCGATGGTTCCAAGTTATGCTCAAGAAGAAAATTCAAGGAATTATTTACAAAAAAATTATTCAAAGCCAACATTAAAAAACAGAATCGTAATTATTTAATATTTATTGTTGCTATAAATTAGATTAATGGCAATTCACTCAAAAGATTATTGATTGGTGTAGAATAGGAGATTTGGGATTGTGTCAACAAGTGGTTGATAAAAAAGATAATACGAAAAAATATTTGGAGGTGTTCCATATTTGGCTAAAATATTATCAAAAAAAACCATATACAGATAAAAAAAAAAAGATAATCCGAATAAAATATTTGGAATTGTTCCATATTTGGCACCTGAAGTATTATCAAAAAAACCATATACAAAAGAATCGGATATTTACAGTTTTGGAATGATAATGTGGGAACATACCACAGGAAAGAAACCTTTTCACAATAGATCACATAATCATATCCTTATATCGGATATTTTAAATGGTGAAAGACCTCAAATCACTGACGATACTCCAGAGTTCTATGTTGAACTAATGAAAAAATGTTGGGACTATGCTGAAGAAATTAGGAATTGTTTTGGTAAAGATCGTTATAATTATGAAAATATCAAATTAGCAGAAGGTAAGAGACAAAAAATCATCAGTCCAGACAAGTTTCTGTCAGATACAAAAAATTATAAACACCATTCTGAAGCAATCTATACAAATCGTCTACTGAACGAATCAATTGAACTAGCTCAATCATCAAATCCTTCATCAACTGAAATTGGGTCAGCAAGCTGTTACATCAATTCAGATAAGTTTTTGTCAAATACAAACAATTATGAATACCACCCTGAAGCATTCTATACAAGTCGTTCACTTGATGATCCAATTGAACAAGCTCAATCATCAGATCAGATCAATCATTAACAAGTTATTACTTTAACGATAACAATTAAAAACGCGTTTTTATGTCAAGAATAATAAAAATAATAAATTATCTACTTCCACAGATGTTAATCAAGACCAAAGTGATTCAGTTGATCTTGGTGCATGGGGTAGCTTGTTGATTAATAAAATATCGACATGGGATAGTCACGTGAAACGGGCGTCAGGTGTAAAAAGCAAAGTATCTGAGCTAGAATTAGATCAAATTTTCGAAACTGTCAAGACTAGTGAAACAACTCCTGATCCTGTTGAAGAATCAACAAAGCCTCTCTATTTTGAAAAGAAACAAGTACGAGTTGTTAATAACGAGCTTGATGATCATGAAGGATGGGGGTCACCACCACCAAATGATATTTCATGGAGTGATCCTCGTCAAGGAATTTGTATTGAGATGATTGAGGAACAAAACCAAACTGTGTTTTGGGCTAGAATCAATGGGGCATGGCATAATGTTACAGAAGAAGCTAAAGCGCCTCAAAAAAAAGAAGAGATTAAATCAAGCGATGCTGATGATCATAATATTAACGGAAATCGTTCAGGACGTCAAGGAGTTGAAGAGGAGGATGTAAAGAAAAAAAAGGGACCAACTAGATCCAAAGAAATCAAACTTTTAAATGATGATGATAATGATAATGATGATGACAATGACAATGACGATGATGATGATGATGATGACGAAGACGATGTAGTTGCAAATTTTACCACGGGATTAAATAATAATAATAATAAGAGTGAGGATGATTCAGCATCGGCTGGACCAGAAGAGCATTATACTAGGAATTATCAATGGAAGGCACAAGATGAATGGAACAAGTATAATGTTAAGACAGTCGAGGTTGTGCATGGTAAAGATTACATTACTAAAAAGAAACCTACTCTTCAAATATCAGATACGTCAGGATCAGAAAGTGATCCTGAAGATAGCACACTTTCAGTGCCAGTATCCCAACATCTTGATGATCATATTATACCTGTTAAAACTAATGTAACATCTGTTTCTGATAATGATGACATTTGGAATCTCTATGATAACGTGAAAAAACCAGAAAAGGAAAAGAAGCATCTTAGTGAGAGGCAGGTTATTCAAAAGATAGAAGACAATTTTTTGATAGATTTGGATTCAAGTAAATTAGACGGTGATAATAAAGAAAACGATAGTAGCAACAACAATAACCTTAAACTTGGCAGATTAATCAATGAGGACATTTTTAATTTGTTTAGTTCAATTAAGCCTTCACCACCAATAACAAAAGTTAACGATAATGCTGATGCTGGTGCTGATGCTGCTGATGATGCTGCTGATGATGAGAATATTCAGTCAATAATTGAACGAGGAAATTTTATGACAGGTCAAAAAAACGTTATCATTAATGGTGATATCAATAGTGGTGGTGATAATTTGTTATTAGATAATAATAAAAACGAGATTGCGCCATTAATTTCATTTGAAGAGACTGATGAAAATATCCAAGATCAAAAAGTTATTCCATTATTGGAAAATAATGTTTCCTATCAAAATAATGTTGATGACTTTTTAACAAATTCCAATTTAGAAACAATATCATTGGAATTAAATAATAATAATAATAACGTTAACAATAATAATATTGAAGTCGAAAACTATAGCAGGAACATAGTTAATTGTCAAACAAGTACAGAAGAAACTTTACTTTCAAAGACAGAAACAACAATATTATCATCAAGTAAAGAAGATGTAATAAGAAGTTCAAGTATAGATAAAAGACAACAACGAGTAGTAGTAGAAGTTGCAGAAAAAGGTCCTTCGCCCAGTGAACAACTAAGGATGGACAATTTAGAATTGGAGAGTAAACGATCTGGTGGTGGTGGTAAACCAATAAAGATTGATGTTGAAACAACAAATTTTGGAGTACAAACTTGTTATATTAGTCCAGTAAGTAATTATTTATTAAATATACTTATATAATTTATTTAGCTATTTTAAATATGATAATTATTTAAAAATGAAATGGATTACTTGCTTACAATATTTGTTAATTAATTAATAGGGTGATGATGATGTTGATAAAATTGCAAGAGAATTTTGTGATAAGTGGGAAATGGAAAAATATACAACATCAATAATAAGTCTTTATAACAAAGCAATGGAAGAGAGAGCGCAAAAAATGCAAAGAAGAATGGAACGAAAAAGAAAGAAAGAACTAAAGTCAAAATAATTAATAATAATATTCTTTCATATCTATTTATTATTTAATAATATTCTGTAAAATATTTTTCTTATTATTATATTATTATTATTATTATTAAATAAGAATAATTTGGCAAATTTAAAAATAAATTGACGTATATTTTTTTATTAGTATTAGATTTTAACAAGCGGAAGATCATATAATGAACAATCAGTTATTTTGTTAAATTTCCGTGATCAAGAGACTCCCATTTGATACTGAAAGTGAAATATTTTGAATGTCCGGCATAAATTGATGGTTGGTGTAAATGTATAAATTTTTGAGAAGGATATAGTAGTCTGGAACTGTGCAATATCTTCTATGCAACCCTTTCCTTCATCTTGGCACCATCATTTCGAGCATGGCTTTTATATGATAATTAACTCTAATACCAGCTGTTGGTGAATTTGTGATTCTTGTTGATGGTCGCGATTATTACTTGTTATATTATCAATCACAATGTGACTATCAACTAGATTATTTTTTGATGATGATGATGATGGTGGTGGTGGTGGTGGTTGAATTCCATCGTTAATTTGATTAACTGGTTTAATTTGAGGAAGTTTTATAGGTGGCATTTTCTCAATATTATTATCAATATCTATTTCAATAGTCGAAGTTGAATACTGAACCGCTGAAGAACCATTTCTTCCTTTTTCTTGTTGATGTTCCATTGAATTAAAATCTTTACGACCATTTATAGGAGTTTTTTCTGAAAAATGATTATCTTCTGAATTTCTATCATTGTTGTCATCATAATTATCGTTCATATTATTGTTATTAATGTTGTTGTTGTTATGATCATTGGCTGTTTTATTTTGGTTAACAACTGAAGGTTCTAAAACATCTTCTGTGATTGTTGCTGATGGAGGGAGCAGAGGTGGACAATGAAGGTTAGGAAATTTTACATTGATGGATGACCAACAATTTTGAGTTTTTTTAATTACTGTGGGCCAGGAATCACGTAATTGTGAATGATTGGATGAGGATGAAACTGAAGTGGTGCTGAAGGAACTTTTTGTATCTGGTATATTCTGAAAATATTCACTTTGAAATTCATTAGCAGTCATAGATTGTGGTGGTGACATACAATGATAAAAATTAATGTTGCTATTTGGAGTAACTGGGTAATTAGTATCAAATTCCAAACTATTTATCGTATTAGAAATATGTGGGGGATTTGGAATTTGTTGCCGAGTATAATTATACTGTTGTTGTTGTTGTTGTTGCTGCTGCTGTTGCTGCTGCTGATACGGTTGCTGCTGATGATAATGTTGTTGATGTTGCTGCTGATGTTGATGCTGTTGATATTCATTAGAAAATACTTTTTTAAGAGCAATCCCAATAACTTCTGAAGATAAACCTAATTCTGAAGATAATGCATCAAGTTTATCTTCTGGAATTTTTAATGCTTTATAGTTATTACTGTTTTTAGGAATTAATGAATTATTGACTTGATTGTAATTATAATTATAATTATTAATGTCATAATTAACAACAGCAGAATTACTATTTGGGAATGAGAGAGGCATTTTCTGTTGGAATTGAGCTAATTTTTTGATATTTTCTTTTTCAATGGTGCATTTTTGATGAGCATCACCAACTGAGTCTGAGTCATAGCTTGCATTTTGTTGTTCTGTGGCAAATTGATAAACAAAAGAATTGGTAATAGAAGGTGTTCCATTGAAAACTATTTTCTCAAGTTTTGGTGAAGATTTGACAAACCAGTGCACAGTTTCTGGAATAAATTGACCACATGAGTCTATAATAATGTGGGTAAGTGAAGAATTGGTTTTACGACCAAGATATTTAAGAGACATATCTGTGACGTTTTTGCATTCAATTAGGTCTAATACATAAAGATTATTTTCATTTTTTGCAATACTGTTGATCGAGTTATTTGTAATATGTGGACATTTTGAAAGTCCAATTTTCTCCAAATGTTTACAGTGCACAGTGATTGCTGAAATTGCGTCATCATTAATTGGTAAGTTTTCAAGCGTGATAATACGCAGGTTGTGACAAACTGGTCTTAACCATTCTATTTCATTTGACAGATTATCAACTTCTTGTAAGCACCTGAGATCAAAATTTATTAATTCTTTCAGATACATTACAACTTTAAATGATTTTATTGTGAGTGTTTCACCCAATAATTGAAGATTTTGCAGTTTAGGATTTTTTTCTGCAAAATGTTCTATATTTTTATCAGTAAGGTTGGAACAATTTTGTAATACTAAATTATTGAGTTTTGTTAATTTTGTTGCTAATATATCAAACCCTTTTTCAGATATTGCCTTTGTTGAAAGTTTAAGAGAGACTAGCGATGGGCATTTGATTGCTAATGCTTCTGCAAAATTATCAGAAAGATTAAAATCGCCATCCAAATCCAATACAAGAAGATTAGGTATACAACTCATTAGTGAATTGAATGCTTTATAAGTCAATTGACTATTGCCAACAACTAGGATTTCTTTAAGTTCCGGGCAATATTGTGATAAAGATTGTACGTGATGATCTGTTAGATTCCATCCATACACTTTGATCCTATGTAATTTTTCACATAGTTCAACGAGACTTGTTATAAAGGTTGGTTTTGATAAAACATATCTTGACATTGTTTTGTGTACAGGATGTTCAGAGCTCAAAACTGGCGCAAAAGAATTTGTGACGCTTTCATCTGGAGCACATAGGTTGAGAACGCGTACTCTTAAAGCACGTTGTTTTGATTGTTTGACCGCACGGAGAAAGGAGTCAAGAGAATCTGGCGTTTTGAAAATTGGCTCTGACCATAATACATTCATAGCAGTTGGAGACCATGTCTTATTAACCAAACATAAATTGTATCGATCTCGTGAATCTAAAAATTCCGCTATGCGTTTAATGAGTTTGGATTGTAACCTGAGAGCCAGATTAGGTTCTAAAACCTCTTTTTCTTCGAGATCTGTTAGCCAGTTACTCGTCATTATATTTTATTTGCAAAGATTAATTATTAATTATTCCAAGTATTCTATTCTTTATGTTATTTTTTTTTCGAAAAAAAAATTTTTTCATATAAAAAATAAAAAAAAAAGGATAAAAACTAATACTAATACTAATATTATTTATTTATTTATGTAATTTGGTCATAACTAGTGAAGAAATTGCAGGGGGTCCGAATATACTTTTTAATATTAATGTTGTTTATTACGTATACACTAATACTAATACATCTATTTAATTTTTTTGATGATCTTACCAAAAAGAAAATCATAAGAAGACCCTGAATACGCCACACGTCTATTATGAACAAAAATGGATAAATAGTGTAGTTCTTTCTAAATATGATAATTTACATATGACGAAGTTTTAAGCAAAGTGCCTCGAAAAGTATATAAATTTGACTGTGCCATATATACAAATTTGGCCAAAACTTACATAGGATTTAATAATAAATATTTTACATTATAGAATTATTCTTTTGCATTTACTATATGGGGCATGCTGCAATAAAACCAGACAAAGTGAACATTTGTATTACTGAGAATTTCAGGATCAAAGTTTAGTCATTTGTAATGTGATTATAATTAACAATTTTATAATGTCCCATTTTCTATCTTGAGTGATATATAGAATTGACCCCATATAAAAATAATAAAAATTTGCTAGAATTAAATAATATTTGTTGTTATTTTTTATTTGTATATTAAAAA